CATCTAGTGAACACTGCAAGAACTAAACTAGAGGTGGCTACATACAGGGGACGCACAGCCCACGCCCTAAGGAGCTTCACCCCTAAAAACACAGTACACTATAGTGATGGGCGACTTTAATGCAAAGGTAGGGAAGAAGCAGGCTGGAGACCAGGCAGTAGGAGATTATGGCATCGGCTATAGAAACGCCAGAGGAGAGCTACTAGTAGAATTCGCAGAACGCAATAATTTGCGGATTTTGAATACCTTCTACCGAAAACGAAAAAACCGCAAGTGGACATGGAGGAGCCCTAATGGCGAAAATAAGAACGAAATAGACTTTATAATGACTGCACACTCAGGAATCGTGCAGGATGTGGAAGTGGTTGGCAAGGTACGTTGCAGTGACCATAGAATGGTACGGTCTCGAATTCGCCTAGACTTGAAGAAGGAACGACAGAAACTGATACGCAAGAAGCCAATCAATGAGCTAGCACTGAGAGGGAAAGTACAGGAATTCAGAGTGTTGCTGCATAACAGGTACTCGGCTCTTAGTGAGGAAACCAACCTTAACATAGATACAATGAATGATAATCTGACGAGCATCATTACGGAGTGTGCAGTGGAAGTTGGAGGCAGGGTAGTTAGACAGGACACTGGCAAGCTTTCCTAGGAAACGAAGAACCTAATTAAGAAGCGTCAAATCATGAAAGTGTCAAGTACAACAGACAAAATAGAACTGGCTGAGCTTTCGAAGTTGATTAATAGACGTAAAGTATGCGATGTAAGAAGGTATAACATTGAGAGAATTGAACGCGCTCTGAAAAACGGAGGAAGCGTCAAAGCAGTGAAGAGGAAACTTGGGATAGGCAAAAATCGGATGTATGCACTATGGGACAAAGAAGGCAAAATAACTACCAATATGGATACGATAGTTAAAATAGCGGAGGTGTTTTACAGAGATCTGTACAGTAGCCGGGACAACTGCGACATTAATACTATAAGAACTAGCAGTAACCTAGACGACATCCCACCAGTAATAATAGAAGAAGTCAGAAAAGCTTTGGAGAGCATGCAAAGAGGCAAAACTGCTGGTGAGGATCAGGTAACATCAGATCTGCTGAAAGATGGAGGACAGATTGTGTTAGAAAAACTAGCCACCCTGTTTACGAGGTGTCTCCTGACGGGAAGGGTACCAGAGTCTTGGAAGAACGCTAACATCATCTTAATACATAAGAAAGGAGATGACAAGGACTTGAAGAATTACAGGCCGATCAGCTTGCTCTCTGTAGTATACAAGCTATTTACAAAGGTAATTGCTAACAGAGTAAAGAAAACATTAGAATTCAATCAACCAAAGGAACAAGCAGGATTTCGAACAGGCTACTCAACAATTGACCACATTCATACTATCAATCAGGTAATAGAGAAATGCTCAGAGTATATAACCAACCACTATACATAGCCTTCATAGATTACAAGAAGGCGTTTGATTCAGTAGAATTATCAGCCGTCATGCAGACACTGCGGAATCAGGGCGTAGATGAAATATATATAAACATTCTGGAAGAAATCTACAGGGGATCAACTGCTACCATAGTGCTTCATAAAGAAAGCAACAGAATACCAATCAAGAAGGGTGTAAGGCACGGGGACACAATCTCCCCAATGCTATTTACCGCATGCTTACAGGAGGTTTTCAGAAGCCTAGAATGGGAACAGTTAGGAATAAGAGTTAATGGAGAATACCTTAGTAACCAGCGCTTCGCCGATGACATTGCATTGCTGAGTAACTCAGGGGACGAATTGCAACTCATGATTACGGAGTTAGACAAGGAGAGCAGAAAGGTGGGTCTTAAAATTAATATGCAGAAAACGAAAGTAATGTACAACAACCTCGGAAAGGAGCAGCGTTTCGAGATAGGTAATAGTGCACTTGAAGTTGTAAAGGCTATGTCTACTTAGGGCAGGTAATAACCGCAGAGCCTAACCACGAGATTGAAGTAACTAGAAGAATAAGAATGGGGTGGAGCACATTCAGCAAGCACTCTCAAATTATGACAGGTAGATTGCCACTATCCCTCAAGATGAAGGTATATAACAGCTGTATCTTGCCGGTACTTAGCTACGGAGCAGAAACCTGGAGACTCACAAAGAGGGTTCAGCTTAAATTGAGGACGACGCAGCGAGCAATGGAAAGAAAAATGGTAGGTGTAACCTTAAGAGACAAGAAGAGAGCAGAGTGGATTAGGGGACAAACGGGGGTTAAGGATATCATAGTTGAAATGAAGAGGAAATGGACATGGGCCGGGCATGTAGCGCGTAGACAGGATAACCGCTGGTCATTAAGGGTAACTAACTGGATTCCCAGAGAAGGGAAGCGGGTTAGGGGGAGACAGAAGGTTAGGTGGGCAGATGAGATTAAGAAGTTTGCGGGTATAAATTGGCAGCAGCAAGCACAGGACCGGGTTAACTGGCGGAACATGAGAGAGGCCTTTGTCCTGCAGTGGACGTAGTCAGGCTGATGATGATGATGATGATGATGATGAAGTATTTCAGCTGACCCTGGCTGTGAAGTCTGTCAAACATTCTTTCCGTGCTTGCCATGCGTATCCAAAAACCAATGAATCCATTTTTTTTTCAGTCCTTCTGTCATGCCTGATCTCTCAACCCGTTTATGTACGCTCGAGTCTCCGCAAAAAAACGACTTCCAGAATGCTTCGTTCCCCTGCCGAAGGGGCACTTGGTACGACCTTGCCAGCAGGTTCCTGGAGTTTAAGATGTCAAACAAGCCATCAAAAGTTCTAATAAACGTAGATCTTGTGCTGGCACGCTTGAATTGCGGCAGCTTTAGCTTTTGTTCGCAGAAGTCCAAAGCGTCGGCAACTGAGGCACTCGATCAGTTGTACAGCATATCATACCTTCATTTTCTTGCTTTTCCCATTGGACGTGGACTTTCGTAAGTTTGTTTCCGAGCCACAACCCTTCTTCACGTTGAAGTGCCTTCAATGCCACTTCATAACCCCATTTCACATGCTTCCCTTCAATGTCAAAGAGGTGGTCAAAGCACTCTGGCACGAAGTGCACAGAGCAAAGTGATCTCAGTCTTTCGCATTCTACTTCTCACGGCCCACTCCCAGAGGCTCCGCGTTACGCAATCTTTAGTAAACCTGTAAAACAAATCCGGACTGTTATGTTTTGCACTCTTAGATCGCGTCAGCTATAGCTCCCTTTAGTAACGAGTGCGGAATGGCTATGTCGAAGAGGTTTTTGCGTACGTACAGGTAGAATGTGAGGCCACAACCTTTTTTCAACCTGTTGGCACATTCGTAAATGACGCAAGAGGCAACCATTGTAAACCATTTGTCTTTACATGCCGACAATGTGAAACAAGAATCTACGAAATCAGCAGCTCGCGATGCGCTGAGCACGCTTTTTGCCACTGGCAAGATGGCAGCGGCTGGCTTCACTCACACAGCGCCCCTTCCACTCCAGCAAGTTTTATGTATCCTCCTTGGCTGCCACATGGCGAAAACAAATGCCATCTTGAAATGATGACCATGACCTTAGGCCTTGTGAGCCGTGGCTTTAGAAGAAATATAAATATACTAAAACTTGCATCTAAAACGCGTGCGTCCACAAAAATACTTTTATGGGTAAAAATGCACTCCTAGAATATAAACATCGCCGTTTTACGTGACTTGTCAGAGCTGCCCTAGGGTTAGCTGCGCGGCACACTTGAAACCAACGTGACCGACGATATGACGGGGCTCGAGTAGAGTGAACTGAAGCTGACTGACTTTCCAGCTGCAGATATGAGCCGGCAGCAGCGATTTCGTGAAGCTTCGTCACTACGACACGTGCAATGGGACGATGAACATTCGCGATACCACAACAAAGCGTAAATAAAACTGTTTTTTTATTAGAAGCTTTCGCGCGTGCTACTATGTCATCCAGCCAGTAATAAGTTGATCTAGTAAGGAATAAAATATTTACTAATTATAAGGTTAACAGCCATCTATCTAAACGTCCCTTGCACCGAGACTACTCATTCGGTCCCAGAAATCAAAATGCGAGTGTTTTCCGGAAACTCATTCGACAGAAAATATTTTTTTTTCATCTAATGGCATTAGTTTTCCCTTGTGACAGCAAATAAAACACATTACTAACGAATTTTACTGTTTATTTCTAGCATGGCAGCAATGTCAGAGCACGGCCGGTAGGAAGACATGTCCTCCCACGTGCCTCCATTCTAGCCGAGCTCAGAGTTGGCAGAGAAACGTGAAGACGCGTCGGTTTGTGAAAATAGTTGTGTTCGTGTATCCCATGTGAACGAGAAAAACGTCTTGTGTGGTGACATACATTCTGCGGGCGAGACTTGTTGAAAAACAGCCTTACGTGGCAGCCGCCCTACAAATTTTCGGAAGTGACAAAGGCAACTCGCTGTTAAAAACGTGAGTGTGGTAGCGCCTGCATCAGAAATCAACACAGGATGTCGCACATCTCTAGGCAAGCGCTTTTTGAAAAGTTAATTCGAGCGCGAAAACTAGACACGATCACTCACACACGCACACACCCATGCATCAAACACACATAGCGCATGCATGGGTGTGTGCATGTGTGAGTGATCGTGTCTAGTTTTCGCGCTCGAATTAACTTTTCGAAATGCTCTACCAACTAGCCCAACAAGTTCTTCTAAGCAAGCGCGCACGCTCGCACGATATTGCACTCGTTACGGCCTGAAACACGAACGCTTTGAAACCTCGTGGTTGCGAATCGTACGCGATCAACGTCGATTTGATCGCGTGCTATAGCTGAATGAAGGCTAACTCCGAATCCAGTTGTTTCACAGTCCATCAACAAGTCCTGAACCGTGGCGCACATAGTCGCGGACTCGCAGCTTATATACGCAGATTCTATCGAGCAAGCAAGCAAAACAAGTCATATCGCTACAAACAGTGACAATAATCGCCATGCCAAGAGGGACAGCCCCATCACAAACGAATGAAAGACAGGCTTACCTCGCGAGCGCGAAAAAAGTACGGCAACGAAGTCCTCAAGAGCTCACGTGTCTGCTGGTTGTCAGCAACGAAGTCCTCAAGAGCTCACGTGTCTGCTGGTTGTCATGTCTCCGTGTTGTCATTCAAACAGACGAGTGACTGTGCTTCCTTGGAGCGCCCTGGCGCCCTCTTGTACCTTTTTGCTTGATTACTGCGACGTAGTTGTGTGCCTCGCCGATAGGTGGATACCACCAGAAAACACGGACACCAGATGGGGTAGCATGTGACCCTAGTCCGCTAAACAAAAAAAAAAAAAAAAAGAAAACGAAATTCTCTATGATACTCTGCAGTAAGCCCCTTATGTATGCTCCGACGGCCCATGACACGCCGCAAGTCTCTGGGTGGCTCGTGGCCTGCTCGGTTACCTCCGATTCCTGAGATGAACGTCAAAAAAAAAAAGAATAAGAAGAAGAAGAAGGAAATCAATGCTACCGGTTTGTGTGGCTTTTGCGACGTGAGCCGCGAAGCGGGCGTACGAAAGGTGACGTTTTGCCTGGACGGTGGAACACTGAAAGGAAGCCGAGGGGAGCTTGTTATGACAGGTTCAAAACCAGCGGAGACATGCTCCCGAACTCAAAGTTGTTTCAACACCCTCCTTGCTCTCCTTCTTCTTCCCTAAGCAGTTCCAACCGTCCGGAGAGTTGGCAGAGTATTTTTCAAGGGGTTGAACCACCTTGATCTGAAGTGGGAGCAGGGCAGGTGGATGTGGAAGAGAACAGACTTTTGGGCTAGTTGGTTTGTTGCGTTCAATGAAGCCATAGCGCTGATAAGACACGGACCATATTTACAGGACGTGCGCTTTATTAAACTCACAGCTAATGCTGTTTTTCGCAAACATGACATACTTTTACAGCAATAAAACCAGCAAATAACACTAAAAAATTCGTATCAGAAGTGCAAGCCTGCATCATTCAGCTACGCACACAGGGCAATCGATGGCGCGCTGACACAGTTCATATTTTCTACAGCGAGGAATCAACCTGGCGTCCTACTATCATTCGTGCATCGTTATCACAGTTCCTCCACAGAACAGATTCGTTGAACAGTTGTCGGCAGCCGCAGTCATTGCATTCTACTGATACGTGCTCGTCGCGGTAACAGTTAATCTTCTGTTTATGCACTCTGAGCCTATCAGTCGGGCATCTGCCTCTCTGCTCGATATACGGTTCGCCGCACGAGAATGGCGCAGACAACGTACGAAGACGCACTGGTGCTTCATCGCGCTTCCTCGGCGTTTCATGTGAAGAATCAGTAGCTTTACAAAAGCTCCTTAATATTTGTGGAGCGGAAAACGCCGGATCTACTTCCGCTTTGCAGACCACATTCTTTAGGTTGTTGTGTAACCCGTGTATACGGCACAGATACCATCTTTCGCCTGTCTTGTCTGTTCGAGCTTGCTGGCTCATTTATATTAACGCCTTCTCGACCACTGACACGAGCACGTGAGCAGGGCAACCTGCATCCCGCCACCGCTACTTTTGGCTGGACAAACAATCAGTGAAGGCGGCTAGCTTGCGGCGTGCATTCCCCAAACAGAAATTAGCAATTGCACTCCTCATCAACTATATACAAAATATGCCGATGTACGCGCAAGCAGCGTTTTAGTCTCGCGAGGGTGATATTTTCCACAACAATGGCTGCTGGCACGTTGCCGGGCTTGTTGGTTGAGGTTGATCATTCATACAAATATAGTGTACCACGACAAAAATACCGAAGACACACACACATTCACCTGGTGAAAAGAGTTTGATTTCTAAAAACTGGACGACATTATCAGCAGGAACTTTTTGCGTAATAACTATAGTTTGTCAACACAGTCACAGAGCATGGAAATCACTTCAGTCACAGAGCATGGAAATCACACTCATACAGCACGTTGTCAACGTATACCTAAAAACGGGCAAACACTTTATCAATGTTTTTTTTTTTTACTTTCAGGGGTCTGTCAAGACGGCCGAGAAGTAAGAAGTTCAAGAGAGCTGCAAGATAGGAGCCCGTATACAGACCCCTGTTTTCTGAAGACAGACGGTCTCACCACATTCAACAAATCTGGATTTCAGATAAAACGCCAGTACAGTTACAGGAACCTGCTTTCGGCAATTCCTGTCTGTGTTTGGAAGGCAATGACGCCATAATCATCTATGTGGTTCATATGGTAGTTTCGAGAGGTTAAACCCCACATATCAATCAATCAATCAGCTATATGGTCTTCAATGCAACGCATGAACGCAACATGCGTCATGGGAGAGTACAGGACTTTAACGTCATACGAGCAGGCAAACATTCTTCTTTCGTTATTTGTATACTGAGGTACTCTAATACATTGTTCGAGCTTATTTGCAAGGATTGGGTCGTCAATACGGAGTAGGCCAAGCTTATTTTGCAAAAAGAAAAATAGCAAGGGTATTCTGCCACGTTACTCTTTCAGATATGATCACTCCGAGTGGCCAAAGTAACTTGTAGGTCTTTACAGAAAACATAACTTCTAAACTGATATTCGTTTGTGGTGCTCCCTGCGACGGATTTCACCAGGTGGAAAAGGTTACAACGAGAACATAACATTTTCCTATCCGCTCTCACTTTCTGCATCGAGACGTCATCATAACCTTACAAGACCGACGCAATGCCCAGCCTTCGATTTGAATTCATTCTCAGTGAGGACAGCAAAGCCTTGTAGGCCGGCAGGACGCTTAACGGAGAGTCCCCTAAAGAATGCTGTACTCTTCGCACATATTGATGGGTCGCACAGGCTTCCGCTACGACACAATTAACACATCAAAGCATTCACTCACGCAAGGAACACCATCACCGTACGATACAGCCCTGCCAATGTATCGTGCAATACAAAACAGTTCGGGGGCTGTCTTCCTTGGTTCTATAACGACGAACATTGGTTCCAGGCTGAGTACTCTATGTGCATATGGTCCGGGGGGGGGGGGGGGGGGATATTCCCTGCAGTGCTGACGGCTAGCAACGCTGGTGAGCGCTGCTTCTTTAGCTTTCCAGCGCGCGGCCTTGGAAGAGTAACGCACCACAAAAATTCGGCCATCTGACCCACAAGCAGAAAAAAAAATTCCGCGCAGCTTTATCGGCATCATATTTTTATGTGCGGAGAGAAGAATGCGCTGATATATAAGGATTTCTGGAGATCCGTGCCATGAATGAACAACTTTATTTATTCCTTTCTAAAGGGAAGGGGGCAATAGGAAAGAGTGTGGTGGGGACTAACTACTTGAAGTAGTCCTCCTCGTCGGCGTTACAACCACTGCATCGAGAAGAACGGCTATTTGGGCTAGTTGGTTTGAATTCATGGTAATAAGGGCTGCAGCGCGAGCACGAAGGTGCTAGCAGAAACGTGAAACGAGAGGCGACGCAACGAAAGCAAAGAGGACAACACGAGTGCTCGTGTTGTCCTCTTTGCTTTCCTTGCCTCGCCTTTCGTTTCAAGTTTCTTCTAGCACCTTCGTGCTCGCGCTGCAGCCCTTATTACCATGACTGCATCGAAGGCTACCTCAAGAAGAATTCACAAGACAGTCTCTGGCGCTTATTAAACATATGATTGGCAGGAGCTTCGATGAAAAATTTTAGTGGATCCCATCTCACGTTGGAATTGAAGGCAATGAAAAAGGCTTAAATCTGATGCCCTCGCACACGAAGCGCGAACTTGCATTCTAAAAATAAGAGCACCTAAAACTTACCACAACAACAAGAATGTAATATACGCAATCACTTCAGGACGATCCGCACGCTTCCACATTAGTCATGCATGCGTAATCCACGCACTTCCCAGAGAACAAGCGACGCTGCTTTAATGAATAAGAACTGCCTCCGCATACACACCGTACGTCTTACGAGGCGCTTCCCAGTTTTTTGCCGTTCGTGGTGCAATCGGTGACATCGAACATTTCATTTGGCTGTGCCCGCAGTTGGACAGAGAAAGGACAGAGATGCTACGCAGCTTTCAGAAAGGTTGTCATGAGCATTGTGTAGTGAAAGAAGAACAAAGACAGCGAGAACAGCGCCGAACGCGGCTCGCAGCAGCCAGAAACAGAGCGTGTGGTGGCGGCGAAGGAAAAAAAAAAGAGGAAGAAGATAAATCCGGAACCCTTACTTTTTTGTGAGTGTGTTTATTATGTTATGTTTTCAAGGTTTTTTTTGTTTGTTTAGAAATTCAAGACCTTTAAATTATTACCTATATTACCTAATGAATTCAACCCTTTCTTTCAAGAAGTGATTTTATTTGAAAAGCAAAGCACCGTCCCATTCATGGCATATCCCCATAGGTGGGTTGCACCAAGTTGTTGAAGAACCAACCAACCAACCAACCTTCCGCCATGGTTGGCCGCTGCCCTGTGCAGCCCCAGTTTCGGTGACCAGCTCTGGGCCGTCCAGAGCAGGCCCACGAGGTGGCGGTCAGGCAAGGTCCTGACGTCCCCACGCAAGAGGCCTAAGGCCCGGTGGGCCAAAGCTCTGCCAGACTTTCAATAAAGTTCTAACCAACCAACCAAGCGAGAATCTGGGAGCATGGCCACGCAGGCAGACAGCGTTCGAGAGGCGACCAATGTTCGTGAGGGCTACCCGAGACTACCGCTGGGCAGCCTCCTGTCTGGCCACGCTACTGCGACCGCTGAGGCCCCAGGCGTACTACTCCTGCCCAGTACATGGATGGTTCCTGAGTAGTCCCGTGGCTACCAACTTGCACGCCAATTCCGCCCTCACGCGCCCTGCTGCATCGCAAGCCGCACCGCGTTGGACGTCCACGACTGGCGACTGAGGGTCGACCGCTGGCCTGCTGTGAAATCTGTGAGCCCACTCAGGACTGCAGAGACGCTTGTGTCGCGTCAGGGATCCCTTTCTGCTTGTGTGTCTATTGTCGCGGGAGTTAGTTTTCCTTGTTAATATATGATGTGTACTAGACCCAGTCTTTGGCTCCTTTCTTCACCGCACCGCACATGAACCAAAGTGATGGTCCCATATTTAACACACTACACACGGGACATTCGAGGATGTCATTTTTCCTGAAGGACCAACGGCAACGAGGATGAGCGTGCAACAGATCCTGCTGACTTTCCTGAGAGACACTGGGATGAGTGGCATTTG